ATTGATTTATAGGAATAATTTAATCATTAATCTGAATTTTCATGTCGAGTTATATTGATAGTCACAAATAATAAGTCATAAAGAAATTTAGTGCTAATATAAGAATAAATAATGAAATGCATTACGTTTTGAGGAATTTTTTAAAAGTGTTAATTAGGAATTTATTATATAAATCTGTTTTTTTAAAAACTATTCTATTAAAAATATTTTTTTTTTTTTTACTCTCCATGTCCTGAAACGACTTATCTATAAATTCATCTTGTATTATTCAAATGTAAAGGATATTTATTCGAACTAAAATTCTTTGCTTAATAAATTCTTCGTATTTTCCCGCATTTTAATTTTTAATAAACTTAAGTTTGTAGTAGCTATTTTTTTATTTGTGGTGCACCCAACGTTGGGGACACCCTCTCTTCACTATCCTCGCGACCTACACCTAAGGGAATGAATAAAGCACCACTAAACTCAGTCATAGTGAAATCAGTTTATTCTGATCTTAATTTATACATATACGACACAATACTAGTCTAAGAGGATGCTAATCAAGAGTGAGTAGACGCAACACTTATTACTGATAATTACCGCACTTAACCACTGTATCTATATTTATTGGAATTCCCAACCTACTATTATCTGCACACTTTCCTTATAATTTAGTTAAACAAGCTTACCGCTATTTCCTGGGTAAACAGCTACGGTCCGTAAAACATCGATTCCACCTTTAATCAGGCTGTCTCTGGCTTAGGCAATACTCCGTTGATCTCGGACCCACTTTTGACTTATTTACACCGGCACTGTTAGGTCAATTTCCAGAATTAAGATTCCTCTTCTATACTTTTAGCTCACTTTACTTAGTTTATTTCTAGCATTACTTCTCGACTTAGCGATATATATGATTCTTAATTTGCATACAGATGTTTCTTCTTGAGTTGGTTGGAAAGAATTGCCATTCTGGCCCCAAAGAATCCTAAGAAGACAATTAGTGGAAATCGTGATAAAGCCTGTCACAGATTGAGTAGTAAAATTTATAATCTTATTTATTTTTTACCTATATATAAGCAGCAGTAGCTAAAAGGTCATTCTCACTAACTCGTAACCTGCGCTATTGTGTCATGGGTTCGAGTCCTGGTGCCAACGTAGATCCACCGTGTAGAGGAGATAATGCATGTTAAATCTGTCGAGGCTAAAAGTTCTCATATTGGCGAAATGTGGAAGTAGGAGAGTGGAGTGCAAGTTCAAGTGTCGTTTTCATCACTTAGTTGGAGTACAAAATTATTAGATCCTTCGGCAATAGCCATCGTGTTGCCTTAAAAATGGGACGTTAATAAAACATCTATATATACTGTAATAAAGTAATTTTTGAACAAAATGTGATTTTTTTGTGTGTCGTGAATTTAGCGTTATATTTCTTCATATTTAATTCAAAATTTTTTTTATTATACTACTTTCAAATGATTAAATGTGATTGTTTGTAGATTATTTTTCTTATGAAATTCCCGGATTATTGAATTATTAATTTTTATTCAACTTATTTTTTGTGGTAAAATTTTTATTGTTTTATTTTTCTCTGTAATTTTAGAATTATTTAATAATTTAGTTACCTTCCTCACGATCTTTTCAACATATTAAGAATGGGCCATCAAATAAAATATTACATTTCGGATAAGTAAATCAACAAATTGTTATTGGCCAATGTATTGTCTACTTAAATGCAGATGGCAGCACGAAATTCGACGATTTACTCTTATCTATCTCAATTCTGAGTGCGTTTTACTTATATATTAATCTAGTAGATGGCAGCATCGTCCTATTTTGGCATAAGAAAATGAGAACTAGTAATTCTGATTTTGCAGAACACACGTGTAAAAAAATTCGTGAAAAAGTAGCATCAATAGCAATTTGTATAAAATCAATGGAACAATTGAAAGTTGGTTTCAGTCCAAAGAAATAAGTAAAAATTATACAAAAATATGCATGATTTTTCTTGTTAGGATCTTAAACATTTCATATTATAAAGATCGTACAAGTTTCATACACAAAATAAATTATCATTTGGAAAAAAAAATGTCATGTATCACTAATGCATAAAAATAAAAATTAGGTAAACTAATAGGAGCTGATAACTTCAATTTCAATACAAGTGTAATAAATTTTGATGCTTGATGTATTCTTCCATGGGAGTAATTAACTTGCTTTGTTCTCAAACGTTTTGTGTCCTACTTAAATTCACCAGTTAAGAATCTGTTGGATAATTTTCATGAATTTAGCGGGCATAGTGTCATTAAGGGCCATCCTTCCTTTGAGCATATGCATTTTTTGTCCAGGGGGAAAAACGTTAATAATACTGATAGAGATGTCTGTTCTGTCTAAACCATTTGTTCGTTTATCAGTTGGAGGTTCAAGCAGCAGCTTAATATCTCCTCTCCGTGTGTCGTTCTTATTTTTTTATTTTTATTTTTCACTAACCTTTCAGAAGAGTCAGAGACCTCTACACCGACAATGTTAAATTGGCTGTTTTCGAAGTACCTTTTCTTAAATTCTGTGATGTGTATATGCTTAAAAATTTTCATATAATTAAAGTATACCTTTCTCATTATACTGAAATAAACTTTTAGCTAATTTCGAATTTTTTAATAATTTATAAAATATTTTATCCGACATAGTGAAATTTGACCCATTTTTCACACAGAAAAATTTAGAAAAAATAAATTTTGAGTTTTTTTTTTACAAAAAGCTAATTTAAGTATATATTAGCCATCATTATAAATATGTCATAAAAAACTTACATACCTGTAAACATTATTTCCCAGAAAAAGTACATCGAACAGCAAAAATTTACGTGTTGAGATAAATAAACTTGAATATATAATTACTTTTTTATTAAAACATTCCTCCCCATACTCCAAACGATCTATATTTTTTTAATCTCCTCATCCTCTTTCTTCCTTTTAAGTCTTTTTTCTTTCCCTACATCCTTCGTTTTTTGTAAACATGAGTATTTAGCTTTTAACAGCCTCTGTTTGTCGAGGCGCTCCATTGCCTGTACCGTGTAATCACCAGGCTCAATATTAAGTTTTTTCAAAATTTTTGGTTTGTTATACATTTCCCATTTTTCATGATGAAATTGTATCATATGTACTCACTGATAATAATTTTATTTGTACAAATATTTTCTTCGGTACACGAGATTATATTACGTTGTCTACACTTTCAATGGAATTTTGTGTACCTCCATGTAAACACTTTTTTAGAAATTCTGGATTATAAATGTTTTGATTTCCATCATTCTTTCAACTTTTAAGCAAAAACAAAATGCTTTGTTTACATTTTTTGCCATTTAAATAGTCGGGGCCCAGTTTCAATGATTATTTAAAAATTGGTTTTAAGGGCTTCTAATTACCCTAGAGGTTAAAATAAGGTATTTTTAGAAAGGTTAAAATCTATACAATTTGAAAATGTTAAAATCTCAAATTGTCATATTAAGAAGATTTTAGGTTCCCAACACGTCTTAATTGTTATATTTGGTATCGTAAGATGGATATCTTGATATTTGAGAAGCAGATATAATTCCATATTAAAATTAAAAAATCTTGGAAATTCTCATAAAAGGAAATCGCATTACACTCCTTATCTTCAATGTCACAATATGATTGACAATGAGGAGCAGGCTTAAGGCTTGGGTCAGACCCAGGGCCTTGGCCATAATTGGGGCCTCGTCTCGTTCTCGACAGTTTTAATGATATAATGATTCGAATAATTTAAACGGTCAAAGATTTTTTCCGGTTGTATTCTCCGAAAAACTGGGCATTTCGGACGATATGTCAACTGGCCACATATGATGACCGTCATCCATGTATAGGCGTAGGCCTACAACCGTACACCATTATTACTCCTTCAGTCAAATAGTTTGATGGTCGAGATGGTTTGTGCTATTGTAAGTCATGTTCATTTATTTGTTTTGGATTATTGTTTTTAAGAGTATTTGTCAACGTATGTTATGTACTGTCTGCTTTTAAGGGTTATAGGATGGGCTTACATTTGCGTAGGGGCGCCGGGCCTAAAAAGTCTTATGACATCCCTGATGAGGAGGGGAATAGAATTATAAAGGATTAAAAATAATTTTTGTTTGATAAAATCGATAACGTACTTGACAATATTCTTAAATTTCGTAATGAAATAAATATGGATGTAATTTAGTTGTTCAAATTGTAAAGAGTATATGTCATTATAAGATTATTACGGAATTATACATTTCACTCAACTCTGAAATGTAAATAATTATTAGCTCACAGTTAATTATGTATATCGAACAGTTTGGAATCTAAAATTTAATTTAGACTGAATACGGGATGAATATGCCACAAATAATGTTTCTGTAAGAAATATATCATAACTTGCTACAAATTAACATATACAAGGCTCAAGGTTTACAATTGTTGAAAGAAAGAATATCCAAACAAAATTAACAACAATTATTATGAAGTCCTCTTTCAATTTGATGTAAATTTGTATGAATTTTTTTTTGAAATTTTGTGTTTTTTGAGAAGGTGGGTGGGATGAGAATGAAATCCAGAATCGGGGAAACACGACAAGTCGTGTTAGCGGCTGGTGAAAAGTGACAAATTAAAAACTTTATGAAGAAAATACTTAAAATTAAACTTAATAACATAGTAAGTGTGTGTGTGTTGTGTGTAATTAAGGAAATGAAGAAATATTCTACTCGGTCTTTTAATTTTAATATTTTCAATTCCTACAATTAGTTCACACTCTCCCTATATATATATATATGCATCTTGTTCAGATTTTCAATTGTTAATAAAATACTTTTTATTCATCCACTCAAATTCAAATACATTTTTTAAACTTGCAGTGAATGACACTTGATGTTAATACAGTTTTTTCAAATATTAATTCATTAGTTAAATTTAATTAATGAATAAATAGTAACAAACAAAAATAATAGACCTACACCATATATAAAAAGGAAAATCGCTCGCTGTGTCCCTGTAGCGCAATAGATAGCGCGTTGGACTTTAAATCCCAAGGTCGTTGGTTTGAATACTACCTGGGATGGCCTAATTTCCTAGAGGTTTTTTTTCCTGTACTATTTTATTGGAATAATTAAATTTAATTAATGAATATATAATAACAAAAAGAAAAATAATCTAACACCCTTTATAGAGAAGAAAATGGAAAAAACGCTTTCTATTTTGTCACTTAATGTTGTTCATCTGTCATATGTATATACATATTTATATTAATTGTAATTATTTAATAAAAAGTAACTAAAATAAAATTTTCTTTGTTAGCCTAAGTAGGAATTGAGACTTTAAATTTTTTTTTTTATATTACTTGTTTTAATGCACCTTTCTGAACTAACCATATCGCTATTTTCAGTGACAGGAAGGAATTCAAAGAAGTTTTTAGCAACAATATATTTTTTAAAGGCTAAAATTTCGATCGGGTTTCTAATATCAAAAATTTTCATGTAGTGATTTGCGTTAGAAGTAATCACTCTGAAAAGTTCTTTAGATTTTAAAACTAGATTTGGCCGCACATCCTCCAATTGGGCTAGCATATGCAATAACAAATCCCATAACGACAGTACTTATTTGGTCTTTTTTGAATTCCGCTCAATTAAGGGGTCAAGTTTAAAAGCATTCTTCTGACAAGCATCGAAGCTTGTATGATATAATTTGGTGCATTTTCACATCGCCAATATTGGTTCCTGACTTTATGTAATTAGCAAAAAAGTCACATGATATATAATTTTAAGTTTGCAATGTGTGCATTCCTTCCTTACATTTCACATCATGAACTACATACTGTTAATCACTTGTTTCTTCCCATCATAAAGAGAAAGCACAAAATAGAAAGGATATTACGAAACTCTCCTAATAATGACGTTTTTTAATACACCTTGTGATATTAACCCTAACGATGCTATTGAGTCAACACAAGGTAAAATTTTGATAATGATAAAAATGACCTACAACTCAAGGAATATTGAATTGCATGCTGTGCATAGAGTATTCCTATATATTACCTTGAATTTGGAGACTTTTAATTTTTATATAAGTTTAATAGGGGTTCAATAAATGGGAAGAGTAACTATAAAAGAATGCTCTAAAGGATGTTACAAATTTTAACACGTTGATGTCTTTTATTATTTGTTATATTTGAAACTATTACAAACTGTTTCGTTAAGCAATTGTTATGCTCTGTTGAATTAAAGAACGATTGATTGAATATTAATAATAAATTTTCATAAATAATATTAATTATTTATATCTACGATACATTATCTTTGAAATCTATAGACAGCAAAATTGTTCACCTGAAATTTCGAGATAATTGCGAACGTAACAATTGATGAAGTATATTAACTTTTAAGAGATAAGAATTTTAAGAAGAAACTGCTCTCCCGGATTGGATCTTTTGGCTGTGCTGCCTTACCATTTTTTGTCAATGATATACACTACCAAATGTGGTGAGTGAACGAGAGATAAATTAACGTCGCACTGTTAGACTGCACAAAGGTGGTGACGGACCTCATAATTTTGAGCTATGAACAAGTGACGAGGACGACACCTGAGCTATCACCCCCTCTCTTATTTTCCACACCACACCAAAGGGGGGGGACATTAGTGCCTTGACAGATTTGACGGGCAACGACCCCCTATACGTGGCAGGTCTTCAGCGGTACCAGGCTCGAACTCAAAACACGCCAGCCACGAGTCCGTGACCTTAACCACTAGGCTACCACATCCACTCTAAATGTTAAAGTTCAGAAAAAAGGTAATATAAAAAAATTAAAGTAAATTTTCCTACATAGGTCAACAAACAGAAAATTTTTATTTTAGTTACTTTTCTGTCAAATAATTAGATTCAATACAAATATATACATACATATGATAGAATCACAATATTAAGTGGCAATTAATTTTTATTAATTATCATTAAAGTATCGTATTGTCATCCAAAACAATTGTGTGTATAAAATTTCAGTTTAACTGAATGCTTTAAAACGTGGGAAAAAAAAAATCATTTAAAGTTTTGGCACAAGTCGCTAAAAATGAAGCCAGCGTGACTCCGCATCTATAATTCTTTAAATAATTAGTTTCAGTCAATAAATTTAAATTAATCATAATAAATTATCGTATTATCACCCAAAACAATTGTGTATAGAAAATTGCAGTTCAAATGAGCGCTTTAAAACGTGAGAAAAAAACCTTTTAAAATTTTGACACAAGTTGCCAAAAATGATGCCAACGTGACTATCTATAATTCTTTGAATAATTAGTTTTAATTCACTACTTTGTTTTAATTATAATTAAATTTCCGTATTGTCATCTAAAACAATCGTGTATATAAAATTTCAGCTCAATTGAGTGCATTAAAATGTATTTTATTAACGATTGAAAATTTGAACAAGATATATATATAGGGAGATTGCGAACTAATAGTAGGAGTTGTGAAAAAGAAGACATTTTACATTTTCCACAACTTAAATACAAGAGTTATGTCAATTGATTGATTTATTTATTTAGGTGGATCAAGCTCATTCAGAGGGCTTACAGCTACCAACCGGAGACAGGAAACAATAGAAAGCAGTACACAAACATCCAAATAGCTGAGCAAGAAGTCTTTACTAAAAGAAGTACACACACACACACACACAGAAAGGGGAAGGGGAGCAAAAAACCTGATGCTCTTAAAAAATGCAGAGTTAAGGAGGAAAAAATCTATGTCAGTTTTGTTTCCTTCCGTCAGCATCTTTCAGAGGTTTTTGGGTTTGAATAAATTACACAGGGGTCAGAAAGCAGTAAAGAGGGAAGAAGCTCCTTGGTTTTTATTTTGAACGTATGCTTTTTGGTTGGCTGTCCACCCTGTAAAGATTAACAGTAGTTTTTTTTATCATCTTTTAGAACAAGTTTTTAAAAATACAATTATTACTATAAAAATAATTTTCCTCTTGTGTAATGATGATTATTACGAAAGAAAAGTGCTCATTTTTATTTTTATCATGTCGATTCCAAGTCTTTAAATTTTAAAAATAAGTTTCTCTGACAGATCTTTTAATGTTTTTAAGTACTCTTAACAACAGTTATTTTCCAACACATCCAATTATTTGAAAACAAATGATTTCTCGTAAAAAATTATTTTGTTTACAAAAACTTTTAAAAATTGGAGAATATATTTCAGTATATTTTTCTTAACTTACATTTTTAGCAAGGTTTGATATTTTCTTTTCTAGTTTTTTATTTTGTTTCTGATTTTTAGACAGTGTCGTAGCATGGAAAGAGAAATAAACCAGAATCGATATTTACTCAACTAGAAAAAGTTGTAATACAAATAGCACTAAAAAGAATTTTAAGCCTCCCCCTTCCAATGACTCAAAGAACCTATTGATTGGATCAGGAAACATTATAAGAAATTGGCAGATCTTTCACTTAATAAAAGTAAAAAAATATATTTAAAAAAGTTTAAGCGCAAAAGCTTAAATTTTTGATTTAAAAGTTTAAAAAAGATTTTCTTAAAGAAAATGATCGAACACAATCATCCTAAATAATGATTGACACTGTTCTTCAAACAATTGAACATTATAGACCAGCGTTTCTCAAACTTTGGGGTGCGCCCCCTAGAGGGGCGTGATAACTTAACGAGGAGGAGGAGGAAGGGGGGGGGGTTGCGAGCATATTGAAAAGTCGAAAACAAAAGATTATTCAAAAAATATTTATTTGCTGAAAGTAAACAAACAAAATACATTCCGAAAAAAATACTCATTTACATTGACATAACACACTTACAATTGTATCATTACTGCACAATGAATTTTCAATTTTTTTAACAATGCTAAGTTAAGAACAGCATTAATAATTATCAATGACCTGATGGGCTTGCCAAATTAACACTTATTTTGATAATTTGTATGGTTCAAATTTAATTACTTTACTGCCGATTTAAGGCTACACGGTACCCTTTTTCAAAACATTTTTTTGGAGACAGTTACAGTAAAAATAATTGATGTTTTATATTTAGATTATATTATTAAACTGATTCTGTGAGCAAAAAGTCAGTTTGACCAGCCATTATTTTCAAATTTTAAAAATTAGGAATTTTTGAAGTTTTTCAAACTTTTATAAAATACTCAATTTTTTAAATTTTTTAGTAATTTTGAGTTATTTATGATTCTTAGATTATTACAAACAATACTTAGTATGTATTTGAAAATCTATTCCCTTGTTGATTTTTAATAGCTATTTTTCTAGAAAAACCTGGAAAAAACACGAAAATTTTTAAAATATCAAATTTGGCATTTTTTAGAAAAATAACTGGAGTTCTCAGCCCTAAATCCATTCTAACTTTTATAGAACATACATTTGGGAGTATATACAAAAAAATTCAAGGCTCTATCTTGAACAGGAAAAAAGTCTTAGGGATTAAAAAACACTTATACCTTCAAAATTAGAAGTCTAAGAAAAACGCATTTAAAGTTTGTAAAGTCATAAAACAAAAACTTATAATGCCCGTAAAACTCTAATTTTTTAATATGTTATTTTCCAATGTATGTTCTACATTAAAACTTTATTTTTATTAAATATGACTGAAAATTATATTTTTAATTCAAAATATATATTTTTGCATAATATTGATAGCCTTTGTTAAGACGTCAGTTTATTCAGCTTTATCTTAACCTAATATTTCACAAAAGTTTTGAACACGAAGCATTTATGTACAAAATAATAATGATACTAACTTAAGCTAAAAATAGTCAGGTTTGCTCATAAAATTTAATGTTTTTCAGTTTTAAATTGGGGCAGTTTAGGAAGTTTTAGCTCTTGTCGTACGACTTTAAAATACTAAAATATAGTACTGCAATATGTTTAGTATAATGTAGTTTGGTATACATCAAGGAAATATTCAGTTATATCTGCAGCATTTGAATTCAGAATGCTTGTATTCGGAAGTCTAATTGCAGAATCAGCTGAGGACTGATTTTTAGGTACATCATTTTCAGTAGTATTCCATCTCTTCGAAATATTGTTTCTCACAGAAACCCAGAACGCATT